GCAGGGAGCCCGATGCGGGACTCGATCCCGGGACTCCAGGATCATGACCTGAGCCGAAGGCAGTTGCCCAACCAACTGAGCCACCCAGGCGCCCCAGTGTCCTTCTTGTAGCCTGTGTGGATGTTGTCAGGAAGGACGGCGGAAGGAGGAATGGTGCCTCTCGTTGGATGAGTCGTTTGAGGTCCTGGAAACACTTCAGCATGACCTCTGTGCCTCCATACAGCCCTGTGACTCGAACACCAAGTGTGGTTGCCAGAGCAAATAGAGAAACGGGGGCGGGCACAGGTGGAGGGCGGTGTGGGAGAGGCAGAGTCAAACTCATGGCCTTCGGCCCTGCAGCCGAACAAAACAAGATCATCTTGGGTAGGCGATCCTAAGAGACATAGAAAACTCTTACCTTCCACAAACCAAAGAATTCTTGGGCTGGAAATGGAGCTATGAGAGCGGCAACATATGTCTAACACATTCTACATCATATTTCTTTTAAAAAGTCCCCCAGAGAAGTTTGCTGGAATGCCCGCTCTCTCCATCCCCATCGCCCCCGCTCCTTCCTTTAGCAATTCCTAAATGAACTCACCCATTCTCTTCCATTCAAACAGATACAGGAGGATCACCACTCAAAGAAGAATATGGTTGGCCCTGGGCCTTTGCTGGCTGGTGTCGTTCCTGGTGGGACTGACGCCCATGTTTGGCTGGAACACGAAATTGACCTCAGAGTACCACAGAAATGTTACCTTCCTTTCCTGCCAGTTCCGTTCTGTCGTGAGGATGGACTACATGGTCTACTTCAGCTTCTTCACTTGGATTTTAATCCCCCTGATTGTCATGTGCGCCATCTATCTTGACATATTCTACATCATCCGGAACAAACTCAATCAGAACTTTTCGAGTTCCAAAGAGACAGGTGCATTTTATGGACGGGAGTTCAAGACGGCCAAGTCTCTGTTTCTGGTTCTCTTCCTGTTTGCTTTGTCCTGGCTGCCTTTGTCCATCATCAACTGTATCACCTACTTTCATGGTGAGGTGTCACAGATTTTTCTGTACTTGGGCATTCTGCTCTCCCATGCTAACTCCATGATGAACCCTATTGTCTATGCTTATAAAATAAAGAAGTTCAAAGAGACCTATCTTTTGATCCTCAAAACCTGTATGATCTGCCAGTCCTCTGATTCCTTGGACCCAAGCAAGGATCAGACCTCTGAGTAGTTATCTGAGTAGTCATCTGGATGACTCTTCACCCCATTGACCTTCGGATTCAGCATCAGTAAACACTTGAGGACCTATCCACCTGAGCCAGGGGCTTTCTCGTCCTTAATTTCTTTTACTGAGGTGGGGATCATTTGACTGGCTGCCTCCACTTGTACCTCCCCTAAAGCCCCTTCCTATAATCTAATTGTTTTCTTGTCTTTCTTCTCTGGTTCAATGTTCTGCATGCCTGACTCAAGGAGAATGTTTTACTATTACTACTGCCTGTGTTCCTCCTCCCCAAACAGGAGGAGAAGTCAGTCTGAAGGATGCTCCGTTGATTTAACTGATGAAAGGTCCCAATCCCGCTGGACATGGGTGTGGTGGTGACTCAGTTCCACTCCATTGTGGAACCACACCAGCACACGCCGGGGAGATGGCAGGAACAGAGTGTCACAAAGGGGGACTGAAACTGCTGAGTTCACCTGTAACTGTATTTGAGTAAATAAAAGACCGCTGACTGTCGTGTAGCTCTTTCTGAGGGTCAGGGTCACTTGGGGCTCACAGACCCAGCTGGCTGCTCTTGGCACTCAAGCTGCTTGCCACCGGGAACCACGCCACGTTCACCTGTTTGAATCTGGGCCCCTCATCCCTTGCCCTGGAACACCCCGCTCCTTTTTCCTGGGCTGATTGGAGCATTTGCCAACTTGATGAGCTGTTCGTCAATTGTTAGAGAAGGATCAAAAGAGGCAGAAAAGAGACACAGGATAGCTATTATTTGTGGAATGCTTTATATGCGCTAAGCACTTTCCATACATGAGCTCTTCTGCTCCTGACAATCTCTGAGGTAGGTGCCACCATTATTGTTCCGTCCATTATGCAGAAGGAAAACAGAGGCACAGAGAGGTTAAGTAACTTGTCTATAGTCACACAGTTAACAAGTAGTGTAAAGCCAGGATTTAAACTCAGTCCTGCCTTTTGGGAGAACCCAAGCTCCTCACCACCTATTCTCAGACACAAAGAGGGACTTGTAACTTCTCCAAAGTTCAACCTCTCAAGTTCACCTAATGGACAATTAGCAGATGCCTGGATACACACAATGGTTTGTATGCTGGGAGAACTGCTGGATTTTTGGAGGGGGGGTTTGCCTTAGGTACTATCTCTGATGTCTCATTAATCCTGACACCAGGCGGGGACAGAGTCCCAGTCACCTCCTTCCAGTGTTGTGTGTGGCTCTGGAGATTCAAGAGGACATCTCTGGTTGGTCTCTCCAAATTTGCAGCTGTGGACTCTCCCCAAACAATGAGTATATGAGCCTGAGGAGAGCAGCAAGATGGGGCTTTCAATTAAACCACTTCAAAGAGAATAAGTGTACTTAAGATTTTTTTTTAACATTAATTCTTAGCCAGTTCTGAAAGGTTATCCTGATGGCAATCTTAGGCCAGAGCCCAATAACCATATTTATCTAGTTAACATTTCATCTCAGTAAAGGTCCTCACTTCTCGAGAATCCCTGTCACCCCAGGAAGAATGAACACTGTCTGGAAAGTTTAAAGACTTATATCTACTTTGCTACTAATGCCAAACTGAGTTGGTCACCGACCCACCCACTTCCCTGCGCAGCTCACAATCGTATCTTAAAGGTGAATGACTAGGACCTGCCTCCATTGTCCCTGGAAGTGTGGGAGGTTACCTTCATCTCGTCAGTCTCCCCTTCAACATTTGGGGATCTTTGTTCTCTAAAAATCCCAGCGCCGCCCGCCAAACCACAATTTTTTCCCTTCATGGCATCCCCTTGTTTGATTTAGGGCTTTTCCCCAACCCATCAATTAATTTTTGTGCTTTGTTAAAATGCCCCTCAGGACGATGCCCTGGGTTTACTGTGTGGCTTCTGGTGACCCTTGTGCATGCTTTTCCCCAGAAGCTGCCTTTGCCCAGTTGGACCCTTGAGGGAAGTGCTGGTTAGTTTTCAGTCCCAAACAGAGGCATTTCTTAGTTTACAATCTCTAGTGTTTGTTGTAGCGACACTTAGCACCTGCTCTTTGGGGAAACTTGCGTTAAAGGGACCACTTCTCAAAACAAAGCAGCAGTCTGTCCTGTGTCATTTGGTGTCATAAGATGAGCTGTAGTCTCTCAGTCTCAGAAAAAACTTTTTTCCCCTCTCTTCTCCTTTTCTCCTCATCCTACCCCTTCTCTCTCTCTCTCTTTCTGAAGACCACTGCTTAGCAAACCCACTGAGGGTTTGCAGGGAGTTGTATTTTTTTATATATATATATATATATTTTATTTTGTTTCGGTCAAATGGGAACATCCTGGGCTAAGATGTTTCACAGGCCCGGAGGAAGCCCTTAAAGTGAGAATATCTTTGGGAGTGGACTGAGAAAAGATGACCTAAGAATCACTGGTGAGGAGCGGAGGTAGAAATGGCGAGCTCCACCCTGGTTTCAGGTTCAGAGATTAGCATTGCTGGAGCCTCCTCGAGACAAGCCCATCTCCTGGCTCGTTCCTTTCAGCTGGACAGCTGAGGGTGGCCATCGGTTTTTTGTTCTCAAGGAATAATGTAAAAAGACTACACAGACAATACTGAGGTTTGCTTCCTCCTTCTCCCTGTGAATTCGCTGGAACGAAGGTAGATGTTGAGTAGCTGGGTTTATATACCTAATTTTTTTTTAAATCAAGTCAACTGTGGGTAAATGAAGACCAAGTGAGAACAAGCAAAGGCCACCCCCAAGCTTGCAATAGCAAGAGAGTCATTCACTGCCACTCGTATTTTGGCAGAGACTACAGGCGGCCGTGGAGTGGGCCAGCTCTCTGGTGGTAACAGGGAGGCTTCGCTGCGCCCTGGCTGGAGGCTGGTGGCCTGGGGAAGCTGTGGGCGGGCTCACACAAGTGGGGCAGCCCGTGTGATTGGTTAGGAGAGCACATTCGGCTTTCTTTGGTTGGCCCCAAGGTGGAAGCAGGACAAAAATTTGGGGAGCGGTCAGTTTTTACTAGCTACTTCGGGTTGATTGTCACAGGGATTATCGTTTGGCGTTCTGAACTTTTGCTAGAGACCAGGGTCTGATGTCCTACAAATCTGACCTCTAGCAGGCTGGCTTCCCCGGCCAGTTACTGGAGATAAGACGCTGGTTTCCTGGGCCAGAAGTTCTGTCCAGAGGTCTATTTTTATAGATGGTCTGGCCATTGTCCATGGGTACATTCAGTTTTTTACAACCAGATGCACATTTTCTAGAGACACTCTGCCCTTGGAGGCCATACTGGGTATGCTGGGGACGGGGAAACAGCTGTCTATTGCCCCGACCGCTCAGATGACATGGTGTATGTCACATCCCCTTGTGAAGTCTAACGTCTCTATGCTTTCGCCGTGTTGTTACTACTGTAGAAGGAAGAGTACTATTGTGGAAGATTTAGCATCAGGTCATCGTGTTGTACTACCTGTGTGACCTCGGGCAATTTCCTAAAACAGAACCTCATCATACCTGAGTTTCGTTTTGTTTTTTTGTTTTTTACTATTTATGATGGAAAACTTCAGGCACACCAAAGTGAAGAAGCCAGAATAATGACCCCTCAGATAGCTGTTATCCTGCTTTAGTAATGATCAAATTACAGCCAATGTTGTTCCATTAATGTCCCTACCCACCCGTCCCACCCTGATTATCTTGAAATTTTGGATATCAAATTACTTCATCTGCAAACATTTTGGGTTTTTTTTTTTTTATGAAAGGTATTTTTTAAATGATCAATTGGCTTATTGTTATTACCCACTCATCTTCTTAAGTTGTGCATCTAAGGAGTGAAAATTAATTCTACCCTGATGAGGCAGCAGCAGAACTAAGAGCACCAACAAATACTCAGAATGCTAGTAGACACATGGTTCGTTCTCTTTAACTCTGGGCCTCTCATTTGCTTTAGAATGTTACTTTTCATGTCTTGGGCACTTTACTGATATCTGTGCCCAATCCATTTCTCCTTTGGCTGCTACTTTCTTTGGTTTCACGGCGCTATCTCTGAGCCATTCCCAGTGTCCGTTGGGAGGTAGCTTTCTCAGAGATAAGAACTGATTTTTAAAAATACAACCACAATATCTATATGAATTATCAATTGTTATGTAATTTTTATTAATTTTTCTTTTTTTAAAAATGATTTTATTTATTATTTGAGAGAGAGAGAGAGCGAGAGCGAGTGAGGGGAGGGAGGGAGAGGGACAAGTAGACTTTGCACTGAGCATGGAGCCTGATGCAGGGCTCAATGCCAGCACCCCGAGACCATGACCCAAGCCAAAATCAAGAGCTGGGTGCCCAACCGACTGAGTCACCCAGGCACCCCAGTATTTATTGATTTTCTTGATCACACAGGCCAGCCCAAATTCAGTTTTGAAGGGGATTGCACAATAACATGAATGCCAGGAGCCATCTTCGAGGCTGGTTATTTTTATTGATTTTATAATTTTTTTAAAAAGGAACTCATAATTCCACCAATCTTTTAAAAAAGATTTTATTTATTTATTTGAGAGAGAGAGAGGGACCAGGAGGCAGGTAGAGGGAGGGGGAAAGAATCTCAAGCAGACTCCACACTGAGTGTGGAGCCCCACACGGGGCTCGATCTCACCACCCTGAGATCATGACCTGAGCCGAAACCAAGAGTCCGACGCTCAACCGACTGCCACCCAGGCACCCCTCAGACAGAAACTGGTTCTTGACAATGTCATTATCACATCTGAAAAAAACTCAATAATTTCTTAACAGCATTGACTATCTAGTCACTGTCTAGACCTTTGGTCAGGATCCAAATAAGTTCCATATGTTGCAATTTGTCATTATTTCTCCTAAGCCCCTTTTAATCGATAGATTCCTCCTTCCTTCTTCCCTTCCCCTCCCCCCCCTTTTTCTCCACCTTGTGATTTATTTGTTGAACTCGCAGAGGTTTGATGAGGAGTCCATGAGGCACAGGTAGAACAGGCGTGGGAAGCAGGCCCGCTGCTGGCCCACATGCTGACCGCGTGGGAATGAGAGACAGGCCCCCTCCCCCACGAGAGGACATTGCTGAACAACCTGGACACTCATCCACGTCTGGCCCTTGATGGGGAGGGCTAACTCTGGGGGGTGATAAGTAGTGTTCAGCCTAGATTCACTGGAGGGGTGCTTCTGTAATTCAGACTTTCAAAATCAGCTGTCAGGTCACGAGTCCCAATAGGAACCAAGAGAAGCTTCTCTCGATGCACGGACAGATCTTGATTTGTCCCAGCTCTGCCCCTGGAAGCTCTCAAGAAGTCTGGGCGCGGCAGCCCTGACTGCCGACACCCAAACACCCACATGTACACCACTCATGCTCCAGATGCCAGGCGCATCTGCTCCTAACAGCTTCGTGCTTCTCCCCCCCGACTCCATTCCCCGGGGGAGGCTTCAGTGTCCACTTGGGAGTCGGGGAAGTTAGCACTCTCACCTGGCCCATTGGCAGGACAGGCACAGTTGCACACCTGGATATGTGCCGGCACTGGTGTGTGTGCTTGTGCTCTTCTGAGTGGGTACAAG